GATTCAAGATAAAAGATTAAGTGTTTGTTAATTAATTATTCAAAAACCTTGCTTATGATAGGAAGAAGACTAATGGGACAGTAGTTAGACAAATCAGATCGCTCTCCAGAATTTTTAAAAATAGGGATAACAGATGCTGCTTTCCAGCAGGCTGGAAAACAAGACTTTGATGAGCACTTGTTGAATAGTTTTGAAAGGATAGACGACAGCTCCGGAGAACATTTCTGCAAGACTATAACAGGTATGTTGTCCGGGGTGCAAGCTGTAGAAGAGTCTAAGCAGGAAATCACTTTAGATACAGTAACTGGAGTGATACGGATGTCGAACAATGGATCAACCTGTTTGACGGCTATTTCAGGTAGAACGCAACTAGTGGAATCAAGAGATGATATCGATGAAAAGTTCATAGCAAACAATACAGCTTTGTCATTAGGAGAGGTGACAAAGTCTGAACCATTCAAAAAGAGGTGGAATTACAGACTTGCCCATATTATTGTTACTATTAAAGATTCTCCACAAGTCAAGAGAATCTAATTTTTGTGATGAAATACGAGATTTCATGATCTGAGAATAGCGGGTTTTTGCGTTGGATAAAAACTTTTTACAATGGTTCCTAGCAGTAATAAACAGACGTCTGTTTTCTGGAGAATTTTTTTGCTGATAGATCAAACTGTGATCAAAGACACCTAAGGGTGAATGTGGAGAAAATGAGCACTGACTAAGATCAGAAACAAGACACAAGTCGAGTAGAGAAGGTAAATGATACGGGTTCTCTAGAAAACGAGTTGGAAAGTTGACTATTTGAGTTAGCGATTGAGAAAGGTAAAAGTTGTGGGCTTTAATGCCTGCAGAGTCACTGACACTAGAGCCAAGCCATTCAGTGTGATAAACATTAAAGTCACCGACAATAATAATATTGGCTGATGGATAAAGAGGGCTTGGTCAATATGATCAGAAATAACATCAAGAAGAGTGTAGTCATGAGATGAAGGAGAGCGACATAGAACAAAGAGAAAGGTGATAATGTGAAGTGGTGCTAAACGAAAGCACATAAAAGAGTAGTCTGTAGATTCAAACCTAGTTTCCCGACAAATGGGTGAATTCTTACGAATGTAAATGCCCAGTCCAAGCATGTGACTATTGGAGTCTTTACAAGTTAAAGGAAGACAGCCGTCAACACTAAGATAACAAGATAAGACAGCTGAACTCAAATTAGTCTCACATAGAGCAAGTAGGTCTGGTGAACTTTGCAAGAAATAAGACTCAACAGAAGAAAAGTTTTTTCGAAGACCACGAATATTAGTGAATGATAGGTTTAGCGAACTTAGTGATGACTGTGGTTTTTAATGTTTTATAGTTTTTGCTACTTTATTTATTTATAGATTTGTTAAAAAACTTGACTCGAAACATAGATAGTACTCAGTACACTGTTTAATAGCCCAAGCAATTGCCTCATTACAATTAATAAACCCTAAGCCGAAAGAAAGGGCTCCGATGTGGCTTTGGCAATGCACACCAAAAGTACAAACAGGGATAATACCCATGCGCAACATGGCACTGTTAGTAATTTGATAATTTACAGCTGTTGATGAAATCAGCCTCTCTGAGAGCTACCAAAAAGTTCGGGAAACCTAACTACCAGCCAGCCTCAGAACCATAAAACTGAGTTTTACAGCTGTACCTCATTAGGAGATAATAAAATTAGTTGCCTAGTCATAAAAAAGAAGATCTAGCATTCAACATCCTAAACTGGAAACAATGTATTAAAAATACATCTGCGCCAGCCTATTAGATGAACTATTTTTTAAATAAATATGTGGTGGCAAAAGATGAGTAATCACGTTAAAAAGACGATTAATCACGTTGCGTGTGATAAATAATTATATGAGTAGATAATTTTTATCTATTTTGCTGTACCATACGAAATTGAGGAACTTTTTCTTTTTTAACATATGTTTTCAGCACTCTCCCCCTTCCCCACCATTTTCGCGACCTACCTAACCTGATTTTGTAAAAAAAAAAAAAAAAAAAAATTAATAAAGTCTGTAATTTTTAAATTTTTGATTGAATAAGTGGAATATTATTAAGTTAAGATAACAACATATGTATAGAAGTTCACGTGATACTACCAAAGGCTACCAAAGGCTATAAAAATAAAAAATGAAAACAACGTAAAATCAATAATTGCGTAGTTTTGAAACATGAAATTTAGACAAACCGTCTATCAAAAAAGTTTGTAAACAATATGTTCCATTTTAAACCAACTAGAGTTATCCGAAATCCATGCATTAATAAACAAATTCATCCAATAACTACAACTACACTATGAAACATGACAATCAAAATTTTCTTTTAAAAACAACAACAAAAGACTATATAATAGTTTCATCCAATATAAAATGGAATCATCAGGTTCAAGTAGCTACATATAAAGCACAAAGAATCTTATGCTTAATCAAAAAAACTTTACTTATCTTAACACTGAAATTTTAAAGCAGTTATATAAATCACTGGTTTTTTCACCCAGAGTTTTCAGCTCCAGTATGGAGTTCAAGTAAAAAAATATGAGTGACCTAAAAATTATTTAAAGACAAGCAAAAAAAAATAGCCCCAGGCCTAAAACATATAAATTATACTGGAAGATTGACAAATTTCGGGCTTACAGCAATGGAAGTGAGACGTATAAGTAGTATTCTTATAAACATATTAAAATAAAAATGTCTGTCTCTCCAAATAAAACTCGGTGCCTCAAACCATGAGTTATGATTTATTTAATTTTATTTAAAAAATATATATTTTAAACGTTTCTGATTAATTAAACTTGTGAAAATCTTGCAAAAAATATCAAATCTTAATACTTTCTTTAATAACCAGAAAATAACTGCTTAGCGCCTAAAAATAACCGGTTAGCGCCTAAAAAAAACTGAAAATAATGACTGACAAAAAATAACAACTGTAATAATCAAAAATTAGTTTTTCCAAATAACTGACATTCCTATTGCCCAACTAATTTCTCAGCTTTAGTAGGAACAAAAATGTTAACAGATAAAAAAACAAATTTATATCATAATTTCACCTCTAAAGAAGCCTTATTCTAACTCAAACATTATCAAACTAAACGATGCAAAAAAAAAGTTGCATGTCGCTGTTTACCATTGTGTTCATTTCATAATAACAGCATAGAAAAGACTATTGTTTCTTCATTTTTTTTCCTTAACCATAAAAAAAACCCCCAATAATTACTATGTTTGGTGTAATGAAAATTTTTATTATAAACGTATGATATACAGAGGGCTCTGATAACTTTGAAATATTAAAACAGGCTAAAGTGAGTGAGCTTAGGCCTGTAGAAACTAAACTCCTTTATTTGCAATTGTATTTCATAATTTCATATTTATTAGAACCCTCTATACATTTATATTAAAACGTTTTGTTACACCGAGCTTTGTAATCATGCAGATAGCTTTGTAATCACGCAAAAAGTTGAAATATCAATTGATATTTCAACTTTTTGCATGAGAATATGCTTCGAGCCGCATTTCTTGCTTTGAAGATTTGTTTTATAAAGTATATTATTACAAAAAAAAAAAAGTAAAAAAAGAAGTGAGTAACTTTTCTTCAACTTTAAGCTTAGTTGTTAACTCTTGATCAAGAGTATATTTTTCTCTTTTTCGGACCAGGCACTCCCCATTTTCTCAAAGCGCTTGTGTTAGCGGTTTCAGAAGATGCAACATTGAAATTATTAAGTAATGTAATTACAACAGCCAAAAAATCAACTTGACTACTTTTGCAATTAATGTAAATTTACATTTTTCGAATCATTTTTTTCCATGCTTGCTCCACATGTACTCCAGAGCTTAATATTATTCAAAAATTGAGCAACTTGCAGCCTCAGTGAGCTCCCCAGATAACGACTCCATAGAAGACCATCTTTTAGGTATTGTTTAGGTATCTTTGGATAGAGTTGAACAAGTAGAACAAGTGAACAATCTTTTAGAATATGATGTTGAGAGCAGACCACAGGTATATGCTGTGCAGCAGAGCAGTTATATGCTGCGATGCAACTGCAAGCAATGCAAGCGGAATATTTAACTCCCCAACTCAGTATTTTATATCTAGCACATTCAGTCAAAATAGAACCCTAGAGCTTTTTTAAGGGCTCATTTAGGTCTCATAGAATGGGAATCAGTAAAGAGCTTTTTTTTGGGGGTCACCTTAATACATACACACATTCATTTAAATTTATTTTATTGTCTGTATTTCTTCATCAAGAGTGCTCAATGAATGATATCAGAGCTTTATATGTTTATTTATGTTAGCAAAACAAGAGTTTTGAAATTAAGAATACTGTTGAAATCTTAACTAAATGAAATCTTAAAAAACAAAGTATTGAAAGAAATTATAAAACTAGTATTTTTTAGAGTCACCAAGTAACCAATTTTTTTATTTTTTATTTTGCAAATATTAGGTATTATTTTTCTTCAAAATCAGTGAAATTTTAAAATGCTACAACTTCGGTCACTTATGGATAATGCAGCACGCGTCACTAAAGAATAAAAACAACAACTAAATTAACAATCTGTATAATAGCGATGTGTTGACTGAATGTAGTGACCGAATTTATGAGATGGTATAGAAAGTTCGGTTAAACTGGCTGTTCTCATTTGAAATAAAATATTAAATGCTAGTTTTTATTTTCATTAATTTATTTTTACATAACTTATAATAAATTGTATAATTCAGAAAAAAAAGTAAAAAACGTTAATTTATGGTTAAGATATGAATGTTCAAAGCTTAAGTAATCGAACTTAGGCGATTTTATACATATATAAAAATATTTTAGCAACTTTTCCTGATTAAATTGTTCTTTATGTTAGTTACACGATAATTGCTTTCAACACCTAAATTCTATCAACGGAGTGGACATAATGAAATTCTTAAAAATATAATAAGATAAATTTTTTTAATTAGGTATAAATTGAAACTTGATTTAAACTTACTGGTTTGCTATTTTATTTCCATTGAGTTGAAAGTCACTTTTTTCTGGACTTGCTCGATAGCCGGTTCTAAAATTCATTAGAATATCTATGAGACACACTACGTCAGAAGCAATGTGAAAGCTAACAAATGTGTTGCTAATGTCTGGATTATTGTAGCTGATGTTGTTAGTAGCATTGTTCTTGTTGCCTCTTTCTGGTTTATAAGTAAAAAAACTTATATCAAGAGGAAGAACAACCATATTGATCACAAGTGTTGCCATCATAAACAAATCCCAATATTGTCTAAAATGTAATAATCTATATTTAATTTTTGATAAAAAAGTTAATTTTAAAAGCAAAAATACTCTCGCGCAGCCTTTAATTTTAGGCTGCGCGAGAGTATTTTAATTTTAATTTTAAACTATGACGATTATTCATTAAATAGACTAAAACATATTTTGTGCATTTTATATACTGTACGCTTAGGTTACTGGACCGAACAAGCTCTGGAATTCGTTTACCAGAACTTCAATCAGTTTAAGCGAATGAGAAAAGTTAGAAAAAATTTTTTTAAAGTAACTTTCAATTTGCAGGTTGTTTATAAAAAGTATAATATTAACCTCTTATGAACAATTATTTAACATAATTTCTTAATATATGATTATATATGACATGCAAAATATAAATAACAATTTAACCAAATAAACCAGAATTTTTTTTTACGGTCATAAAGTAGTTGTAGTTAATCCTATTGGACCCCTAATAAATACCCCACTCCTAGTGTATGGTTCCCTAATGGAATTAAAAAAAAAATTTATAAGTTTAGGAGACGTAGTTCTAGGAAGGGGGCGATTCGGGGTCGGGTTAGCTCCGATTACCTAAACTTTTTGTAATTCATCCTCATATGATACCAGTATTAACATACTAAAAATTTGAGTATACCACATAGCTCTTAGTTACCTATCTTGAAAAACAAAATTATTAGGCATTTGCCTAAAATACGTGATTTCTCCTTAGGCCCCCGGTGAAAAACATTTTTTTTACGTTTTTGAAATAAGGAAAAGTCTTCTGATAATAAACAAACAAAAAAATTTCTGGGGATGTGTTGCAAGGTCTCAGAGCATCTTCCTATGCACCGTGTATAAATTTTGAATGAGATTTGCTGTTTAATGTTATCAACTGAAATTATCGTATCACTCTTACTCCAAGTGGCATTATTATTATTTTTGTGAAATTGATTGAAACTACATTTAAGAATAACTACTAAGATATGAGTTTCATAAATTTGTTAAACTAACTGGCGATCGTGGTATGAATTTTAAATAAGGTTTTGTTTGAGTAGAATATTGTGGGGTAATTTTGCCACAGAATGATAAAATAGATATACATTTAAAACTAAAATACTTTATACTTAAACAAAAAAAATTTCTAAAATTCTCCTAAAATTTTTTATTCGAAAATGTCGTTTGTTCCAATTAAATGTATTTCTTATATTCACATTTCTTATCATTAAATGCTCACCATCGCAGATTGTTTATAGCCATTAAATGCTCACCATCGCAGATTGTTTGTAGTCACTATATTGATTACCATGTTTAAAATATATCATTATAAAATGCAAGCATCGGTATTTAAAAAGATAGTAATTATGTCAATTGGTAATAATTATTTTGTTGCATTTTTACCCTTAGTGCCTTTATATTACATATGTTTCAGATGGTATGCAAGTATCTTCCTAAGAAAAAGAAATGCTTTGTGATACCAACCTCCAATTGGTTATTTAAGGCGGGAAAATATTAACGGCAGCAAAAACATTTAAAGTGCCAATATCAATTGACTCTTCGTGCTCCGGAGGGATTGTCTAAAGCACGTGCGGAAGCTTTTAATAAAGGACCGAATTGAAAAACTTTTTAAAAATAACGAAAAAGTTGCTCTTGGTATTGATGTTAAAAATCAATATATTTATAAATATTTATAGTTGTGATAAAATTGGTTTGTCCTTGGTCTTATCTACTTCTGCTAAGGTTTTATCGAAAAAAGGCACACAACAAGTTCAAAAACTAACCGTAGCTGAGATAAGAACTTTAACGACCTTAATAACAACTGTAAATGTCTCATGGAACTATCTACCACCATTTTTGATTTTTAAGAGGAAACTCATTCCCGATGTTTCCAAGTTTTTAACAGGAACCTCTAAATCAGGTTACATGGACAATTTTATTGATTATTTAAAACATTCCAATAATTACCGACAAAAAATATAAAAAAATGCTCTTTTTACTTTATTTAGACGGGCATAAAAGTCACATTTCTTTGGAAGCTGTCGAATTCTTCATCCTTTACAACATTGAAGTTGTATGTTTACCTCCACACAGCCGTCATCGTTTACAACTGCTGGATACACGCTAAAATAAGTTAATAAAACAAAAATAGTCAGAGACTTTATCCAAATAACTCTCTAACGTATTATCAATCTCTTTACTACACAATCGATTATGATTTTTTAATCTTGTCTTTAACTGTGTATGGAAAGAAATGGTTGTGAAAAGAATACTTATTGTTGATACATTCGCTTATTATGAGCTGTAACCTCTCCGTAATTTTCTCCGTCTAAATTTTTCGTTACTACAAACAATTGTTCATTCTCCAAAGAAAATTTCAAACCCAAATCACACAAAATCTCATTTGGCACACATTACATGCGTTGAAAACATGGATATGTTGAAGAAAAATGATAAAAGAATAAAATTAAAGAATAGAAAATTTCTAACGTGTTTTCCAATCCAAGTGACTGAAAGAAGAAGTTCGCTATCAAACAAAAAAAGAAGCATTATTGGCTCAAAGAAGAGGAAATCTCATAGTTTGAAATCATTATTAAATCAAATGAAATCCAGTACATCAAAAGCTTATAACAGAAACAGCAAAAATACCACTCATTACTGTGTGTGCGGTGTGGCATGGGTGAACTCTTCATTAGACTGGCTCCAACACATTTCTTGTCGTGGATAGGCATGTGAAATCTGCTTTTGCATCAACAAATGCACATAATGTGTTTAATTCAATAAAATATAATAAAGCTTTAACTCTTTTTACATTGGCGAAATCGCCTCATATAAATGTTAATACAAATTGTTGTTTATAATTTTTAGGTGTATAATAATTTTTACGTAAATAAAATTAACGTGGTCAAGCTAAATATAGTTTATTCAATATTATTCAGTTAATGGTATAAGGTAATAGCGTATCAGGATGAACAGAATACACCAAAGCAGCAAAAGTGGCAAAATTGCCCTGGTCTGCCCTACTATACATCATAATTTAATATATTAAACATATCAACCAAATAAATTTTAACATCTTCTAATATTTGTGTTTAAACTTATTAAAAATATAGCAGTATAAAGCGATATTTAACTTCCAACGAATTTAAAATAAATTAATGATGCTACATATGCACATGATTTTGAGATTTTTTCGGTTTTTAATAATTTTTTAACTTAACTTATGGATGCTGGTTATTGTTGGCTGGTAAACTTTAGCGTGGTGTTAATAGTATAATCACTAGTGTGAAATAAATAGCGAACAAACTTACCTTAGTTTACTCCACGGGTGTATTACAAATCCTGAGTTCTTTGATCTTTCTCGTTCATACTCTATAGCTGATATTCCACCAAAAAACTTTATAGTTTGTGAACTGTGGGCGGGACAAAATAAATTTTTTATAAGTCCGGCTGATGTTTTTTTTTTATTTAAGAACTGTAGTCTAGGTTGCTTGGCAAAGCTTATAAAATGCTTTTCAGATTTCTGATCTAAATGTGGAAACAACATCGCTCCCAAAAAATCATTCATAAGATGTGACGGAGTATCTTCTTTTTTATCACCACAGTGATCATACGATTTTTTCTCCGCTAACGAAATTTCCATTTTAGATTTAATTGGCTCTTCATTAATGCTTCCTTGATTATACATTTTCAGTTAGAGGTCTTTATGTTTCATTTGAAACCTATAAATTATAATATTATCACATTCTAATACAAGTGATCTAACTATAAAATAAAATCACTATTTATTTAAGTGCATCTTCAGACCATATACGTCATTTAAAGATTGTTTAAAAGACTAGAATATCGAAAAAAAATTAATTAAACCTTTTTGGAATACACAATAAAACTTTGTTTGAACTAATAAAATTTTATCTGAAGTTTTTTAATTTTTTCAGTCGTTTGTTATGAGTAAAAAGTTTTTACTACTTTAAAATTATAATAATAGTTTTTGACAAAGATTAAACTTTTTGTTTAAATTTTGATTGCATAGCACCCACTATTTTGGAGTTGCTTTTTTTTTGCCTTGGCCATCTTCGCCAATGTAATGCATGACACCAATAAACATTAGGTGTCCCAAAAAAAAATTTGTTGCACACATTTTTTTCTCATTCTCTGGTGTCACTTGAGTTCATATGTAACTGTAAAAAAAAATGTCTGACCACAATTACAACTCTATTTAAAATCTCAATTTTAATTTTTGATGAATTTTGAGATTTTTACAGTTTTTAGTTGCAAACGCCACAGTTTTTTATTTATGCTGCCCATTTATTCTAGAGGATTTAAAAAACCAATATTTTAAAGCTAGTCGGAAATCATGTGATCTGGTTGGTCTGTTACAGACTATTAAGAGAACAAAGGATTAGTGCTAGTGATTAATTAAACAACCTTGTGTTTACTATCTATAGTTTTTTTTTTTTCATTTTTTTGTCTATTATTTTATTTTTTTGTCTATTGCATTCATTTTGGGTCATGGAGGTCAAGTTTATACTGGGTTGAGCTCTTGGAGCGCGAAGCCTATATCTTGGGAATGACAAAGCGATTGAACTCAAAACTTTAAAAACTTTTAAAGTAACCTAAATAAAATCATGTTAATTTATGGTAAAAATATTTTTATGTCTAGAAAGTTACAGAAAGAATAAGAAGTCTATAGAAGTTTTGAACACCGCCTATAGAAGTTTCAAACAATTTGACAAAAAACCAGATAATCTCTAGACCAACAAAATTGTTAAAAATGAAACTTGTGGTCACACTTGTGGTTATTTGCAAATGAACTATTCAATAAACCTTTTTTTTGGTAAGTTAGTATTTGCTCAGGATATCTATTTGGTTGCATCCTTATTATCTTTGATGTTGTTGTCGTTATTAAATTCATTTTCAAAATCTAGTTAATATGGACAAATTTTAAAACTAAAAGACTATTTGACATAAATGCAAGATTTATTCAAATTCTTTTTTTTTTCAATACGTTATTTTATTTATTTTTCAGTAAGTTTTGATTTTAAGAAAATATCTCTTAAAGTCATGAGGTACACAGTGAATGTATTTTTAACATAGTTCACAGTAGTTTTGATATACTAACATACAGTCAGTGTATCAAACTATTGTGACCGCACAGTGACAAATGTTTATAAAACTAAAATGACTTTGCAAACAGTAAATTACTTTTTTTTTTCAACGAAGTAAAACAAGAAATTATAAATTAACTGATTTCAAAATTGTGTGACAATTGAAAATTGTTTTTAAAATATTTTTTGTAAAATAAGACACGCGCTATGCCATTGGGTTTCCTGGTGCAGGAATTTTTTTAGAACCAGCTCTAATAATAATTTTTAAATAAATAACTTTTAAATAAAGTTAAAAAAATTCATCATTTGCAAATACAGGAGATACAAAAATTTGCAAAAAACATTTTTGACATAACCCTAATGTATATTAATATCTCCATCAATGACGCCAAAAACGTGCATCCGTTCTTAATTAACAAATAGATGACATCATGTTTTCTATACTTTACAAAATTGACTTGACTCTTAAATTTTTTGAGTAGGTTTATGATGATAGAAAATTTTTAGTAGATTAAAGATTATCAAAAATGATCTGAGATCAACAATGACTAAAAAATGTCTTTCTGGAACGCTTGCTGAAAGAATTAACTTTGAATTATTTTGCTTCAACCTAACGGGAACAGACGTTCGTAAGGTGTCTATACAACGTCTTATAGACGTCAGAAGTCTATAGGATGTCCTTAACACGTCCAACGAACGTTCTGTACCCGCTGGAAATGAAATCTGGCAGAAAAAAGTTTGGATTTGTAAAAAAGCTTGTTTTCAGTAATATGTCTAGTGTAAATATATTTTTAAATGTCTTTAGTTTTTTAATTTTAATAATAATTATTAACTCAAGCAAACTTAGCAAACTTTAGATTGTTTTGTGACGTAATTAATAGTTATGATAAAAAGTAGTGGTGTACTGATGCCTACTTTTGGCCGATGCCGATGGGTATAGGTAATTAGATATACGATGGTAATATACACTTGAATGGAAATGTCACATTCCATTCAATGAAAGTGGAAGCAACATTTTAAATTTAAAAATTGTTACTGTTAAAGTTTATTTTCCATTTATTTTTTTTATTGTTCTCTTTTTTTTTTTTTTTTTTTTATTTGCATTCACTCCCAACAAGGCTGCAAGCAACCACTATTGAGTTGGGAGTTACTAGGAAAAAAAAAGAACAGAGTTATAGAGCAAGGAAACGGTTGACAGAAGACTTAAAAAGTTGAAGGTTGTATGAGTCAGGAAAACATGAAGATGGGAGAGAGTTCCAAAGGATTGAAGTGCGGGGAAAAAAACTAGATGAATAAAAGTTTTTAGAGCATGCAGGGACAGATACAGAAAACGAATGAGACTTAGCTGAATGACGAGTAAAACGAGAATGAATTTTAGTTGATGGAACTAGAGATGATAACTCCTTTGAGCAGTGACCATGATAGTATCTGTAGAAAAGAGAAAGAGATGCAACTTTACAACGATGGGAAAGAGGTTCAAGCTTAGCAGATAGTCCAGGTCCAACAACATTTACAATGCGTTTTTGGACCTTGTCAAGAAGAGAGAGTGAATCGTTAGAAGAACCAGCCCAAATATGACAACAGTATTCCATACAGGGACGAATAAGAGATTTGTAGAGGTAGAGAATGGAATCAGAAGTAAGGAAATGGCGAGCACGATAAAGAGAAGCAACCTTAGCAGAAGCTAATTTAGCAATCGATTGTATATATGGTTTCCATGAAAGGTCAGTAGTAAGCGATAATCCAAGAAGACGTAAAGAGGACGACTCAGTAAGAGGATTGCCATTTATTAATATAGGAATGTTGACCATATTACGGTAGTTGTTTGCAGTAAGCAAGTGGGTTTTTTTAGAGTTGAAATTCATAAGCCACTGTGAACCCCAATCTATTACTGAAGTGAGATCAGATTCAAGATCAGCTGCTTGTTCTAGGCGATCGAAAAGAGAAGACTTTTTGTCAAGACAGGAGTATAAAGTTGAGTCATCAGCAAAAAGAGCTACTTTAGATGAAAGGTTGTCAGGAAGATCGTTTATGTAGATAAGAAACAAAACAGGGCCCAGGATGGAACCTTGGGGAACCCCAGAAGTTACTGGAAATAAAGAAGAGTGTTGGCCTTCAAGGATGACTTTAATAAAACGGTCAGAAAGAAATGATTTGATAATCTCAAAAACATTCCCAGAAACACCATATGAAGCAAGCTTATGGAGAAGACCAGCATGCCAAACTTTGTCGAAAGCTTTAGATATGTCGAGAGCAATAGCCCTAGCCTCACCGCCTCCATCTAATGCACGATAAAATCTTTCAGTTACAGCAGTTAGCAAGTCGGCCGTAGAGCGAGAGGATCGAAAACCGTATTGATTGTCTGACAGCAGTTTATTTGACTCAAGATGAGATGTGAGGAATTTGTTGATTAAAGACTCAAAGACCTTGCTAATAACAGAAAGAAGACTGATCGGACGATAATTGGAGGGGTCAGAATTTTCTCCAGAGTTTTTGAATATTGGAACCACAGATGCCATTTTCCAACAAGCAGGAAAACAAGACTCAGTCAAACACTGTTAAATAGTTTAGAGAGAATTGAAGAAAGTTCTGGAGAACAATTCTGCAAGACTGTGACAGGAATGTTGTCTGGACCACAAGCTGTAGACGAGTTTAATTGAGATATGACTTTAGCAACAGAAGCCGGAGTGATTTGAATGTCTAAAAATGGGTCAACCTATTTGACTGGAATGGAAGGAAGAGAATGTCCATAAGATTCAAGAGTGGAATTAGAAGAAAACTTGACAATCAGAGCATATACTTTAATTGAAAAGCTCGTTTTATAAATATTTACTTTCGTCATTCTGTTCAAATTATTTTGCTTTTTATAAAAATGAATGAAAGTTCCTAGCGGGCATTTGTTTTTAAAAGTTACGTTCTAAATATATTTTAAATGTCTTTTAAACATTTTCTATTTAAAAGACGTTTAAAAAAAAATTATTATTTGATAATAATTTTTTTTTAAACGTCTTATATAGTTTATAAACTTTTTTTATTATTTAATTTTAATATAAATGTAATGAAACATTTTGATTAAAAAAAATAACTGAAAAAGTTTCAAAATATCTTTGTTTAGATCAATTTTCTCTTTATAATTTATTTTTATTTAATACAAAATTTCTTATAAAAAAACTTTTCTGGTTTATTGGTTGCATAGATGTCCATATAATAACTTATTATTAATAAGGTAGGCTTATTCATTGCATTTATGTTTATGACGTAATTCTATGTTTGGATATATTATAGAAACACAGAAATAAAAATAAAATTTAAAAAGTTTTCAAAACAATTGGCATCGGCCGATGGTTATCAATGCCTATGCTGATGCCGATGCATCGGTTCACCCCTAATAAAAAGGACATAAAAGCATCGATAAAATTTATCGCAAGCGCAGTTCTCAAAAAAAAATTTCTGGATGTTTATGTGCTACCTCTAACCCCTGTTCCCTTCGACTCATTCCCTGATCCCCTCCTCCTCCACAACGCTAAACATCAATCCGCCATTTTTACCACTACCGCTGTAGAGAAACTCTACTGCACTATCCACCACTACCGCGGTAGAGAAACTCGATTACT